ATGTTGGTAAGATTTATTAAGTTGAAGAAGAAAAATTAGTTTATGTGTTATATGTTAATTGAAGAAGAAGAATGATGTTGAAGAAAATTTTTTGATATTGTGGTGATTTTGTAGTGTATTGTGTTTAAAGAGATGATAGTGTGGTTAATTGTTTAATATGTGTTATGCAAAGTGAGATTAATTGTTGAAATGGTTGTATGATTGAGTTGGTGAATTGATGCACTTTATTTGTTTGATGAAATGCTTGTAAGGTGAACTCTATGTGTTTGATGAAATGATTGTAGGATTGAGTTGATCAATTGAAAATAACGAGACTTCTATGTTTGTAATGTAATATATAACGAATATACATTCATTATAGGAATATTGGCCTTATTTAATTGGCATGCTTCCTATTGTTTTGTTCGCTATGTATACATGTATGGTGTATATCTTGAATTGATGTTAGTATTTAAGGAATTTAACATTGTGTCGTAGGTTATTCTTCTAAGTTTCAATTTGTAAGAGAGGTGCATGTTGAGTAGTATTTGACCTTGTTAGAATGAAATATTTTAAGGACGATACATGTATGAGTTTTGAATCTTTTGATATGCCAATATTTAGTCAAGCTTCATGCTTTAAGGTTGTTAAGTTCAAAGAATATAAGAAGCTCGATATAAAATAAAGAATCGTTTTATTAGCATCCTTTAGAAATGAGTTTAACTTATGACTTTAACGAGTAAAATACCGTCATAATGTATTATATTGTGAATGTATAGGTGTATTTAATTGACCGAGATGAACATATAACTATAATGTATTTCCATTTGTTGGTGTATGAAATAACGAATGTACATTCTAATGTATTAAATTAAAACAAACTACTTATACGAATGTTGTACTTCTTAATTTCAAAAAATAACGTGTGTTGTACTTCTTAATTTCTTAATAATGTGCATGTGATTGTTGTTACTTATGATTGATGTTGTACTTCTTAATATTGTGATTGAATTTTGTACTACACAATTATTGTTTTATAACATGTTGTCTTTCTTCTATGCTTTTAGGAAAAGAAATGGAGTATGCTTTTGATATACCTCCTACGTGCTCCGGAGTCGTGACCAATAGGTGCGACCTCAAGGTTGTCGATCATGTATTTAAGAATCTAGATGATGGACATCAAGATTTATTTGTGGAATCTTGCTTCTGGCAACTAGTGCACATTCCAGAGTTGAAATTGTCGTCTCAAATTCCGTAGATCAATCTCGGATTAGTGTTTGGCGTGAAAAACTAGCTGCTGAGATATATGGTGCTCATTTTGATCCATAGTTTGTTTTAAACATTTAATATGTAACGAATTGTATGGATCTTTTGGATAATACATTTTTGTATTATTTTTCATGTGTTATTCAATGCAATGGTTATTGAATGCAATAGTTATTTTTCATGTGTTATTCAATATAACGGTGGTCGATTTTTTAAGTTGTATTTTATACGTACTTCCAAATGCAGTAGTTATAATAGTTTTTTATCAAAATGGTTAAAAATATTACTCTAACGAAAAGTTTTAATGAAATAAATAACGAAGGATTCAATGCCGAGCTCCCAAAAATAAGTCGAGGAATCGATTACAAGGCGTTTAAAAAATATCAAATGAACAATTCGTTATTTTGAAAAAAAAAATGCTTGTCGCTGCCGCGACGTCCGTCGCGGCCGCGACACTGGGACAACTTTCTCTGTCGATGGCTTGAGAGGTCCCAGTGTCGCGTCCGCGACACGAGTCGCGGCCGTGACATATAGTTATTTCAATATAACGATTATATAATCGTTTTTTGTATGAAATAACGAATATATATTCGTTATTTTGAAAAAAAAATAAAAAAATTGCTTGTCGCGGCCGCGACACTGGGACAATTTTCTGGCCATTCTAGAGAGGTTCTAGTGTCGCGTCCGCGACACGTGTCGCGGCCGTGACATATAGTTATTTCAATATAACGATTATATAATTGTTTTTTGTATGAAATAACGAATATATATTCGTTATTTTGAAAAAAATAAAAAAATTGCTTGTTGTGGCCGCGACGTCCGTCGCGGCCGCGACACTGGGACAACATTCTCTATCCATTCTAGAGAGGTTCTAGTGTCGCGTCCGCGACACGTGTCGCGACCGTGACATATAGTTATTTCAATATAACGATTATGTAATCGTTTTTTGTATGAAATAATGAATATATATTCGTTATTTTGAAAAAAAAAAAAAATTGCTTCTCGCGGCCGCGACGTTCGTCGCGGCCGCGACACTGGGACAACATTCTCTGTCCATTCTAGAGAGGTTTCAGTGTCGCGTCTGCGGCACGAGTCGCGACCGTGACATATAGTTATTTCAATTTAACGATTATATTATCGATTTTTGTATGAAATAACGAATATATATTCGTTATTATGAAAAAAAAATTGCTTGTCATGGCCGCGACGTCCGTCGCGGCCGCAACACTGGGACAACTTTCTCTGTCCATTTTAGATAGGTCCCAGTGTCGCGTCCGCAACACGAGTCGCGGTCGTGACATATAGTTACTTCAATAATGAATGTATAATCATTTTTTGTATGAAATAACGAATATATATTCGTTATTTTGAAAAACCTTGGGACGGGTTCTGTCATTTTTTGTCGTTCGTTATTTTGAAAAAAAAACTTCCTTCGTTATAAGAGTTTATTCGGTCTAACACCCTCAAACTATCGTTCTAATGACAAATAACATTAACATACAATCGTTATCAAGTAAATCGGTCGAAAAACCCGCTCGTTTTGGTCGAAAAACATCTATAACGACTGTCTATTTGTTATAACGAATGACAGTCGTTATGCTTTTTTTCCGATAAAATCCACCTTAAACGATCGTGCATTCGTCATATAATACATTATAATACATTATTCTCGCGGTTTTTTTTTTTTTGAAATGGAATGAGAATAAAGTTGGTCTTTTAAGTTGAACTCGAATTAATCTAATTAAACTCAAATTATTCCAATTGAAGTCAATTATAATGTAATCGAACTCGAATTAGTCCAATTGTAGTCAAATTAGTACAATTGAAGTCAACTATAATGTAATCGAACTCGAATTAGTCCAATTGAAGTCAAATTATTAGTACAATATCGGTCAATTATAATGTAATCGAACTCGAATTAATCTAATTAAAGTCAAATTAGTCCAATTGAAGTCAAATTAGTACAATCTTGGTCAATTAAAATCTAATCGAACTCGAATTAATCTAATTAAAGTCGAACTAGTCCACTTGAAGTCAAATTAGTACAATCTCGGTCAACTATAATGTAATCGAACTCGAATTAATCTAATTAAACTCAAATTAGTCCAATTGAAGTCAAATTAGTACAATTGAAGTCAAATTAATACAATCTCGGTCAATTATAGTGTAATCGAACTCGAATTAGTACAATTGAAGTCAAATTAGTACAATACAATCAATTATAGTGTAATCGAACTCGAATTAGTCCAATTGAAGTCAAATTAGTACAATCTCGGTCAATTATAATGTAATCAAACTTGAATTAATCTAATTAAACTCAAATTAGTCCAATTGAAGTCAAATTAGTCCAATTGAAGTCAAATTATTACAACCTCGGTAAATTATAGTGTAATCGAACTCGAACTAGTTCAATTGAAGTCAAATTAGTACAATCTCGGTCAATTATAGTGTAATCGAACTCGAATTAGTCCAATTGAATTCAAATTATTACAATCTTGGTCAATTATAATGTAATCGAACTCGAACTAATATAATTAAACACAAATTAGTCCAATTGAAGTCAAATTAGTACAATTGAAGTCAATTATAATGTAATCGAACTCAAATTGATCTAATTAAATTCAAATTAGACCAGTCGAAGTCAAATTAGTACAATCTCGGTCATTTATAATGTAATCGAACTCGAAATAATCTAATTAAAGTCAACTTAGTCCAATTGAAGTCAAATTACTACCATTAAAGTCAATTATAATGTAATCGAACTTGAATTAATCTAATTAAAGTCAGATTAATATAATTGAAGTCAAATTAGTACATTCTCGGTCAATTATAGTGTAACAAATTAATTAAATTGTAAAACGCATTTTCAGAATCTGTTTTACGTATAAATAAATAATAAAAAACTATATATTATATGTTATATAAACTATATGTCATATATGTCATATAAACTTTATACTATATGTTATAAACTATGTACTATATAATATATACTATATAATATATACTATAGACTATATATTATATGTTATATAATAGTATGTTATAACATATACTATATACTATATATTATAACGAATTTACATTTGTTATGGTAGTTTTTCGTAACAAATTCACCTTAAACGACTGTGCACTCGTCATATAACATATTATAAAGATTATAAACTCGTTATTGGTCTTATTTTGGTCATTTTTCATTTAAAAATAACAAATTGACAAAGATTTTATATTCATTATTTCTATTTTTTATTAAAAAAAAACAATGTGTTGATATTTCAAAAAAAGAGTGTTGTGATGAGTGTTTTGACACTCTAACAACTTTAAATTATCGTTCCAATGACATGTAACATTAACATATAATCGTTATCAAGTAACTCGAAAAAAATACCATTAAAAAAATGCGTTTTGGTCGAAAATAACCATAACGAATGTTCATTTGTTATAATATTTAAAAAAGTAATATACAATCGTTATGGTTGTTTTTCCACCAAATCCACCTTAATCGAGATACCTTAATTCGTCATATGATAGATTATAAATATATTAAACTCGTCATCAGTATAATTTTAATCTTTTTTTTTTTATGTAAAATAATGAATTTACAATAATTTTACATCATCTTCCCATTTTTCAAAAAAAAAAAAGAACAAGTGTTGTTATTTCAAAAAAATTAGTTTCGCTGTGAGTGTTTCGACGCTCCAACACCTTCAAACTATCGTGCCAATGACATGTAACATGAATGTACATGCGTTATCAAATAATTCGATCGAAAAAACCATAAAGAATGTGTGTTTTGTTTCGGAAATCAACTATAACAATTGTACATTCGTTATAACATTGAAAAAATGAATGTACAATCGTTATAGTTATTTTTCGACCAATTCTACATTAAACGAGACCTTAATTCGTCATATAATACATTAAAAAGATATTAACTCATTATCGGTCTAATTTTAGTCTTTTTTCTAGTAAAATAAAGAATTTACATTGATTTTACATGATCTTTCCATTTTTTTATAAAAAAAATAAAGAACATGTGTTGTTATTTGAAATAAAAAGAATTTAGTTGTGAGTGTTTCGACGATCTAACACCTTCAAACTATCGTTCCAATGATACTTAACATGAATATACATGCGTTATCAAATAATTCGATCAAAAAAACCAAAAAGAAAGCGTGTTTTGTTACGGAAAACAACTATAACGATTGTACATTTGTTCTAAAATAAAAAAAA